TCTATTCCTATAAACGCGATAGCGGTGTGTTTAATCTCAAGCTGTGTATTTGTATGTTATTCATCTTGGGTCGTCGCTTTCTTCAACTGAACCATCAACTTTTTTTGCATTTAACTCAACTTGGTTTTTTGGATCGAACCTTGACGCAGTAAGCGGTTAATGTCTGGTTCATGGCTTTTACCAAACTCAAATGCCACCAACTCAAGATTCCTTTTTTTCGTATAATTCTACTTCACATAATGATTTATTTCAAATGTCACGCATATTTTCTTGCCTCCTCGAAATCGAACATATTAATTTCAACAGCGGACGTGATTAGAGTTCGAACACCAGCTGCTCTGCCATTTCATTGGCTCGAAAATGACAGAAAGACGGAAGACGAAAAAAAAATTGATACTTTTTAGATAACATACGAAAATGTGCTTGCAAGAATTTGTAGTGTAATTCTATGTCAATTTGATAAACATAATCAAATTCTGCTAGATTAATTGGTTTTGAACAAACTCTTCTTGACGTAGGAAACAAAAACACGCAGACAAACTGGCGAGTGTGCCAAGAATGCTAGAAAAAAATTGATAAGAAAAGCAACAGCCGCTCAGGTTTAGCTTGACGACAACAAAACCAGGAAGAAGAATCGTACACATAGGCGTAAATCATTCAGTTTCGAAACCAAAGAAAATGTATGAGAATTTTTTTCTTCGCTTTGAGGAAAAAGTATCCGAAAAATGAGAAGAAAAATAAGAATGGAAAGATAATATTCACATCGAGGGATTCAAGGTCGTTAAATCGTTTGTTGTGCGCGTCGGTTTAAAGTGGAAATTCAGAATGCGCATAATAAGATTGTTATTGTTGGAAGCGAAAATATTCAAAAATACAACACTTTTACGTCTAATAAAAAGAAATGGCCGTTTTTCGGCGATTAGATAAATATAAATGGGCAGCCATTTCTTGGAATTCAAGTTTTAAATGTGTGTGGCCATTAGTCCACATTCTAAAACGAATTAGTTACGCTTAGTGAATGAAGCGCGTTGTATCAAAGAGGACTGAAACAAAAATATCCACCCAAAGACTTTTTTTTTTTCAATCATTCCACTCCTTCAATCATTTTTGATAGCTTTATTTGCTTCCATAAAGAAAAAATTTATAAAACTCGATATGAGCACCATTTTCAGGATTGAACACACTTGCCGAAAATGCATACAATAATTTTAACAAATAACAATAACTTCGAATAGAACTTTGATAAGAGTTCTGAATGTTCTATCAAGCCACCAAAAAGAGAATGTGAATATGGTTTGTTTAATGTATTGTAGAATGACGTGGTAGACATATATATTAATTCTTTTTTTAAATGCTTATAACCTCCTCGACGGCTCTCGCCAAAATAGCGACAGTTAGATCTATTGAAAAAATCTCAAAAAAAAATTGTCAATACTTTACGTATTTGCGACTGAAGGTCAATAAGCGGACGAGGAATCATGCTGCTATGATACACGTTCGTAATTAATAATATTTAATGTCTCAGTTGCCGAATTATAGTCTAGAAATTGTATATTCTTTAGTTTCGACCTGCTTTCATATCAATTCAAATGAAGCGTGTGGTGTCTACACTCTACAGACTAATACGTCTGATTTATGGTGAACAGTTGAACAAATCATGCAATAATACCGTAAAATATTCGTTGATTTATTTATGATATATGTCATCCAATAAATTATCTTCATTCAACGCAAAGACCCAGTTCGCGAGTTTCAACAATCATTATGGCTTTCCAGAATAAAACAAGATGCCTTACATTCGTAAGGTTAACTTTTCTACACTCCCAAATATATAATTTCCAATTAAATTCAATTCTCCATGCATTGAAATTAGGGAAGCATCATATTTTATTCAGACCTTAATATCAGAGCGATTTCAATACTCTGTTTTTCATACATTGTGACATAACAGAATTCTTACCGTGTTTTTGCGTACAGCGTTTAATGTACCACGCCCCTACCTTACATACCATGATTAACGCTAGAATTCGCGATTTTCGGCGTTTAAAAATCGAAAAAAACTGCTTTTTAATAGATCAAAAAATCTGGGGTGAAAGCTTACAGCTTTCAGCGTACATACACAGACATACCCACAGACATACCCTACGACCCTAAAATAACACTAGATTTTTTGATTTTCGGCGTTCAAAAATCGAAAAAAAACTGATTTTTAGTGGGTCAAAAAATCTGGGGCGATCCCAATACTTTTCTTACACGACATGGTCGTGTGGAAAAGTAATATAATCTTGACAACCAAATTGTGTGCGGATTTTGTGCGAATCTCTTTGGACCCATAAAATGACTATTATCGAAACAGAAAAAGAGACGTAACGAAGAAAGATCTGTGTCTAATGCGAGATTGGTTTTACTTTTCCGTACACACCGTGTCAAGGGAAAGTATAGGAATTGGTCCCGAAAACTTTTTTCGCAAAATTGATTTAGATCATCATAAAAACTCATGAAACGCGTAGAAAACCACTTTTTGAGACACTTTTCCGTTCGTTTGTCGTCTTCGATGTCGTCGTTGTCGTCGTTGGTGTTGGTGTTTGTTAACACGATAACTCAAAAAATAATTAAGATAATCAAAATCTGGAAATGCCAAAAGTTTTGTATCCGAAAAACTTAGTTTAAGTTCGAAGATGAGCCTTTTTCGATTTGACCCTGGGGTACTTACCCTAAGAAAAACCTCAAAATATTGACTCTTTTGTATGGGAGGTACCTGTAAATCGACTCCGATTGGCTTTAAACTTTCTGGGATTTTTTGGGAGAAAAATAAGATTCTGAAAGTTTGAAACCAATCGGAATCGATTTACGGGTACCTCCCATACAAAATTTTTGAAATTTTGACTAAAATTACCGACTTTTGGACAATTTTGTATGGGAGGTACCCGTTAATCGATTCTGATTGGCTTCAAACTTTCTGAGATTTCTTTTTTCGGGGAAAAAATAAGATTCTGAAAGTTTCATGTTGATCGCATGTGCAGAAGTTTGATTTTTTGTCCTCAATTTTTGTCGAAATTTTCTTGGAAAAAATTGAGGGCCAAAAACCAAACTTCTGCACATGCGATCAACATGAAACTTTCAGAATCTTATTTTTTCTCCAAAAAATGAAACCTCAGAAAGTTTAAAGCCAATAAGAATCTGTTTACGGGTACCTCTCATACAAAATTGTCGAAGTTTTAGTTAAAGTGACCGATTTTTCACTTTATTTTCATTTTTTTATTTTCACTGTCTTTATTTCAAGAAAATTCACAAAAAATAACCAAAAGCACCTACGGACAACGCAATGTAATTCTTTTCATTTTCTATTTGCTTTGATTTGTTTTGCACTACAGCGAATATGGAACGGTTTTAAATGCGAATTCTGCGAAACCATCACATAAAATTTGAATACTCCAAAAAAAAGAATTGGAAGTGATCCATTGGGTGGAATGATTCCCAATAAGCTACAGCGGCCAGCATTCAGAGGCGTAGCAAATTTTATGCAAATTTTTCTTTCGAATGGGCCACTTCTCACTTTGGAATGAAAATCAAGAGAAAGAAAAAACACCATTTACATATCGATGGCTGAGTCGAACGTGCTTAACGATTTTTAAAGCTCATTGTCGCTCGAATCCATTCTATTCTTTCAGCTTGAATGAAGCAAACATGTTTGTCTTTAATCAAAACTTTACTGTGTGCACAGCATATTATGGTTTTGAAATAAAGAGAAAATTCGAATTTCTAATAATTGCTAATTTTGTGAGTCACAAATTGACCTTCTTTGCACACCTTTCCCCCATGATTTTGAGATTGTTTAGTTTTATTTCTGAAAAACTCTCTGGTATGCATTCGGAAGAGGAGCAAATAACTAAAAAAGGAGGTGATAAATAATACTTAAATGTTGTTCTAGATATCGAAATTGAATTAGAGTCATCAAATTTGACCAAATCCTCCTTTTGAGATAGTCGTAAAAGAAGCGGATGGCTCTATGATATATTCAATTGATCATCCTAAATACTGAGTGGATACCAAAAAAAAACAATAGGAAGAAATGAATTGATTAATGCTAATATGACAAATCAGTAATAATATGATGGAACGTGCTTCGTTCGAAGAAGAGCGGCAACGGTGGATTATAGTTGGCGAATATTTCCAAAATGAATTAGCTAAACATTTGTCTCAATTTGTAAACAATTCTACAGAAAGGTACGATCATAAAGGAGACCTTCTTCGAATAAAAAAGACACTAATATGTGTGTGTGGTTTGTATACGTTACACATACAACATACTACGGCTTCGTGTACCATAAGTTTTCGGAATTTTTGCACTATTACTATGATTCTAAAACATTTCAAACTAAAAAAGACTAAACTTCCTTCTAAGCCATAAATCGAATTTAAAAGTTTGAAAAACGTCAATATTATTTGCCAAAAATTAATTTAAAATGCCGAGATAATCAATCAGATAATGATCAGTCAATAGAATCGGTTGCGCTTGAATGTAGTTCAAGTATTGCACCGGTGTGACAAGACAGACGAAGCCGCTTGCCGGACGCAATGTGGAATTGGAAACGGTGTGCGAGGAAACGCGCGCGTAAATTGCTCTTTAATGCCTACACAGAAAGTAGCAATTTAATTCAAAACTGACCGCTGCCATGTGTGTTAGCGAGCACACACACTGTGCGCATTGTATCAAATGATTTGGCGTCGCGAGAGTCGACAGCTACAGAATGAAAAGATTAAAACAAAAGTGGCGAGAGTGAAAAAAAAAGTTGAACATTTAACGAGCACCGGATCCATTGATCAACACACGAAACATCGACTCTATAGTAAGCAACTAGTGTGCGATTTTCTAGCGAGCACGAAAAAAAATATGTGTACCCGAAACTAGAACCAAAAGTCATTTGGACATTATACATATTAAGATCAACAGCCACATGCTAATATACGTTCTTCTGTTTCTCTGTTTTCTTTCGTAGCGATTTCGCGTGTACCATCCAATGGACTGGCGGCGATATGACGCGATCAGTAGCCAATCATTGACGCGAATTCGATGAGAACATTTCTATTTTTAAACGACGTAAATAAAAGCAGCAAGCAAAACATTGCTCGATGGGCTCGCTTGCAGGCACACACCGCATCGCGATTCGCGCAGCGAGATTTATTCACACAGCGCGGAACGGAACGGAATGACGGCGCGGCAGTAACGACACCATGAACACGCGCTACATGTTCAACAGTCATTTGTTTACGTTGCTTGTGTGGTTGTGTGTACGTCAGTCACAATAGCTGCAAAAATCGACGGTAAAGTCGCTTCGAATGCTCACATTTCAGTTTAGTATAGAATTGCACACTGAACGTTGCGCACAAACCAACGACCCACTATTCAGGCCACACACACATGTTGTTTATTTGCTATAATTCTGTTCGTTACTTTTGTTTTCATTTGTAGAAAAAAAAATTAATACCCAATATTTATCAAGTGTGTGTCAGTACATTCGTTTAACTAGAGTTTTTTTTCATCAAACTAAAAAAAAACGGTCAAACCAAATCAACGGAATATTTCAATGATTATGACGGTTTTCCAACGATCAAAATCAAATATTTACACGAGAAGAAAGTTATTCGATTGAAAAAACAGTCTTAAACAAGAAACAATGCCATTTTAAGTGTCTAACGAACAGTTTGAAGAAAAGTGAAAATAAACGCAAGTTTCAATTGTCTAAATTGTGGCATAGAAAATAGATACATTACGAATTGCTTGTGAAACGGAACTGGAGAGTGCATACGAGCCCAGTGCACGTGGTATAAGTTCAAAACCGAACGAAAAAAAGGACGAAAAGTGCGACTGTGTGCGTACATGCGTGTGTACGAAAGAATTGTGACGCCGCCGGTTCTTGAGCGCAGCAAATAAGTATTTTAATGTATGTTCAGTCGTTGTTCAATTGAGTGTGGTGCTGTTGCCATCAAGCAAAAGCATTTTTATGTAAACAAACAGAGCCGAGGAGAGGGAACAAATCAAACAATTTTACCAGTGTCGAAGACGGCTGTTAGTATGAAAACGGATAATAATCCGTAAGAGAGAGAGAGAGAGAGAGAGTTCTGAGAGTTAGCAACCAGTAGTTCATCCGTTCTGTGTGGAAGATATATGTACATTCAACGTATATATTGATTTTCGCATGTTGTAAACATTTTAGCTAGTGGATGTTGAGTGAAAATCCGTTATTTGGCTCCCCTCCAAATTAAATGCGTTCAGTTTATTTGGGGCGACAAATTCACATTGTTTGCGCCACAAGATGCAAAATTGCCATTAATCCATATCCAATCCGTACCCCAAAAACAGTGATGGAACAAGAATAAACTGATGGAAAAGAGAAATTCATGCGTATATATCATATAAAAGGGAAAATAAACCATAGACAAAATCAACGAGAGAATATATCTTCAACGAAGAAATAAACTAATTTCCGGCGAAACGTTCATGGACTGAATTGAATCAAATGCAAATCAATCGTCATCGTCGGCGTCAGTGAAGAAAATATAAAAGCAATTATTGCTACGTGCGATTTTATGTTCCGTTTCCTTTCCATTTCATTTTGCTTGAATGCCATAAACGCAAAGTTTTTTTTTTGGCTAGAATCGTTATACATCGTGAGTTATAGAGAACTTGAATTGTTCGTTCGCACTTATTGCCGCAATTTATTTCATCGCGCATACATACACACACATACATTTATTATCGCTTCGATTCCGACCATGTGCGGGAGTTTTAATAGACTTTTATCACTTTATTTTACTTCGTATAAAAACTTTGTTCGGTGACTTTCTTCATTTCAATCAAATCGACATAGTTCTATCATACTTCGATAGTTTTTAGTTTACTGCAATTATTCGCTGAAAAATAAAACACTTATCCAATCCAATAAAAAGCAACTCAAGGACCAACATCAGCATTATTCAAAATTCAGCGCAGAAAAGTTTTGTTTTCTTCCGTTCAACTCCTCGTGATTTACAACCAATAAGTCAACAGGTGTCTTAGGAATCGAAAAGTAAGTACCATGCATATTTATACAAGAAGAGAAAGAACCAAAAAAAATGTAATTTTAAAAAAAATCTGAAATTCCATTGAAATGGGTTAAATACATTGAAATGATCATAACAATAAATTTGTTGCGGTGGTCGTGACTTAAGAAAAAGAAAGAAAGGGAGAATCGGTTGTAATAATGATTAGACATTGATTAACTCACACTATTCATTATTCAAAGTGCTCACAGAACTCATTATGTGCAGTCACAAGTCAACATTTTTGATGACGTAAAAGTTTTACGGACACTGTTTTTTTCGTTAACTAGCGAGATAATCGCAAAACAATTTCCGTGCGATTCATTAATTTTCCTTTCATTGTGACCCCAACCATTAAACGAATTCGCACGATGCAACATTGTCGCACCTTCGGAATGTGATTAGTTGACGGCTTTTTTTATTTTTATTTCAATCAACTATATATGGGAAAAGAATGAACTTAGCCTTTGTATTCCTATTTCGTTGCGGTTTACTTATGAAAGCCAACCTATCTTATCGCATGAAAATGGTAATTCTGATCGTAAATAGCAAACAAATGTTCAAAGTTGCCGATAAATTGGCTTATCGCAAAATTCTACTAGACCATTTCCAAGAAAGAAAGAGAAAGAAAAACCAAACTAACCTTTTTCCTCCACTAAAACCAACTTTAATAACCATTCATTTTGGGTGAAAATGTGTGCAATAGAAGTGGTATAATTTTTCTACAATCCTAAAATAGACTCTTGAATGTGTCAACCCTTTGGCGTGAAAAAGAAAATATACACATGTAGATGAAAGTAGAAAAAAAAGCGTTTCTACTTGCGAAAATCGCATGCGCTCAGTAATAAAATTTTTGTAGCCACCCATAGAATCACATGATCGCAGCCGTTCAACAATCAGCTGTTTTATGTGAGCTAGTGTTCCAGTTTAACAGGCGGTTTTTTTCTCTCTCCATTTTTTATTTCCTTTAACTATTTTTTTCAATGCTTGAAAATATAATTTGCATGTATTGCTATTTGGCATTCCATTTCAATGGATAGAGGAAAAAAAGACTGCGTCGCAAGCTAACAAAAAACGAAATAGTTCCCCATGGTTAGTTCTGATGTGTTCCATTTGTGGGTTGTATACGATTTCCATCGTCATTTTGCGCTGTGTCGCGGGTTCTCATGTCGATTTTTTTGTCAGCTTCAAGCCATTTTGTTTGTTTTTATTGCCGTCAATTCGGCTCATATGCAGACACGAAACGAATTCTTTTCAATTCCAGCACTAGCAAAAAAAACATCTAATTCATGATGGGAAAAGGATCTAATCTTCTTACACCCAGTTACTGAACCCAGTTTATTTTCTGTTTCTCACCATGAAACCCGATGTTACAAACGCAAATCTGCCAAACCGTCGTTATATTTTTTTGTATTTGAGCAAATAATAACCGAACAATCGCAAAAGTGCGAATATTTTCAATGTGCAAACATTTATTTTAGATTTTATGGCAATCGTGTTTCATTTTTTCGTGTTATTTAGAGTTTTTTTGGTTTGGTGTTTGTATATTTTTTTTGTGCGAAATTACTGCTGCTCCGCTGTTCTAGCACACATGCGAGCGCTGCTCAATTTTATTACTGACCTATGTACAGAATTTAATTTGCATCATTCTCTTTCATTCCATTTCTTTCAGTGTTGATTATACAGAGCGAAAGAATGAATAAAAAAAGTTGCTGTGTGTTATTTACTGGGCGCGAGCACACCAGCCAATGTGCTAAAGCGATTTGGCGAATCGACGGTGACGTTGAATATTTTTAGCTTTGTTCTGTATCTTCAACATCAGCAAATTCTCACGCACTACTTTCAGCTAGACTTTCAGTTTCGTTCATAAATTATTCCTAATAATAATAATTGAGCGAATGTGTGTGTATATCTCTCTGTTTCGTCCAATTGACGATCACGCATCGCGCTCAAACGGAACAAGATGCTCACTCAGCGTAACGACTAACCGAAATGAATAGAACAGACACATTCACAGAGAATGAATTGGGGGGATAGAGAGAGAAAGAGAGAGAGAGAGAGAGAAAGAGAGAGAGAGAGAGAGAGAGAGAGAGAGAGAGAGAGAGAGAGAGAGAGAGAGAGAGAGGAAAAAAGAGACGAAATAAATATATCGAGAGTTTTATAATCAAATTTTATGTAATAATAATAATAAAGTTCTTCTTTTTGGATGCACAAGTAATGATTGAGTCGATTGAGTGAAATGAAATGGCAACACAGCAACGTAGCAATAGCATTCGAAACCATGGATTCGTTTTCACCGTTGGCGCCGTCACCAGACGGATCTTATGCGTTATGTACATTTGTTCCGATGCGACTCATCGTACGCGAGTTCAGTTCGTACATACTGAATGTTTGATAATAAAGATGCTGCATAACATTGAATGGCTAGCTGACTGTTATGTGTGTATGTCTTATCTCGCGCACTCAAAATGCTTATTTATTCATAAACATAAAATATAACAATGAATCGCTTTGTTAAATGTTGAATTGCATGCCATCGCCTCACTGAATCGAACGAAATGGTTAAATATAATAATTACTAGCTGAATGCGCAATAATTGCTAGCTACGAGTTTGAGATACAAAAGTCTCTATTTAAAAAATTACAAATGAAAATCATGTTAACAGCGCTGGGTCCGATACTCGGCTTGATATCTTACATTAATGTGATTTAATTATGGCTTTTCGAGCAATTGACACGCAAAATCACTGCTTTCAAATGGATCTCTTGCCCAAACACGCCGCACACACTTCCGAACTCTTATTTTCTCTTCGTTCTTTGGACTTCCTCATTTCTTGTGCGCGCAAACGTTCATATGTTTCGTTGTTGTATTCACAAAAGAAAAAACAGGTAACGAAATACATTGGACGTTAGTATTATGCAAAAATGTCCCCAATGACCTTGAAAACCAGCAAACGACGAAATATGCCTTTCGTCCACAAAAAAATCGGTTTAAACAATGGAAATATGCAAATCGACCTCTCTGTATTTTGGCTATTGTTTCAGTTGCGAGTGTTTGGTTTGTTGAATTGACACACATTTTATCGTCTATAAAACTGTGAAGAGACGTGCTTTCAAATGTTTTTCCTGTCGCGAATTCTATTCGTGTTATTTTTTTTTCAGTCGAAAATAATTTCATGGGAAATAAAACATCGTAATTAGCGGCTTTTCTAAATTATTATTAGATTTGAATGTAAATTTTTACCTAAAATCTCGACTGGGATCTGCTGTTTTATGACATGAACATGAAAAAAAAATAGTTTAAATTTATGCGCTTCTAAGCGTCTCGTCTTTCCTGTTTCGAATAGTGATAACATGTCGCCAATTCAAATAATTTTTCGTTCTCTCTCGCCCGGTCGAATCGGTTTTTTGATCAATTTATTTGAATGTATGCTCCGGAATCGAATCTTCTTTTGGCAATAAAACCATTTTATCACCATCAATAACCATTCTCGAGTGTGTGCCAAGCCCCGTCATATCTAATGCTCATAAATTGCTTCGTCGCCATAAGAACGAGAGCCAAATTGTAAACGAGAGATGGCAGCAAAAAAAGCGACCCGAATAATACACACACAGAGAGTGAAAAAAAAAATCGAATAAATTTAAGAGTCATCGAATGATGAAGAACAAATGCGATCAAAGAAAGAGAGAATAATGAAAGCCATTGAAACCAGTTTTGCTGCTTGATACTTTTGTCGAGCACTGGCTTTGCTTATTTTAATAAATTTGTTGTTTATCTATCTCTCTTCTTTATCTCGTTCGGCGTTATTTTTCTTTCCTTTGCTAGCACATTTGATACACGTGACCTTCAGACACCCACATCATACAAAACCGTACATATAACACATATAATCCGCGGGTTCGCAATACCTACGTCACAATATTCCGACTGTTTGACAGAGAGAGAGAGAGAGAGAGAGAGAGAGAGCGAAAAAAATATATTTATTAATTTTTTCCTACTTCTTCTTCTCTTCTATACGCCTATGCTGTTGTTGTTGTTGTAGTTTTTTTTCGTTGATTGTATCGAAATTTTGTGACTTTGCCACACAAACACGCACCACTGTTTGACAAATTTGAATCAGTCTTCAAGCCGGTGTTTGTATGCATGTGCGATATTTATTTACATGTAGTTCTTGTTCTTCTTCTTTGTTTCTATTTTGTGTACGACTCCGTATTTGATTTACTTACACATTTTAGACGCAGGGTGGGTTTTAAACACCGCATCGCCGTTCACTTCAGCAATGTGTAAAATACATAAGTTCATTCTGTATGCCCGTATATATGATTCAAATGCATGTGATTTTGCCAAGAACAGTATGTCACACCCTGTCTCTGGTGCGATACGTGATAACTTCTGCCCGCTCACAGTTTGTTTTCTGTGCGGCTACACAGAAATAAAAATGGTGCGATAAAAAGCGTTCGCCGTCGTTCTTAGTCGGAATGAGAATTAGAAGTGAATAAACAATAATGCTATGAAAATTGATCAGGCGAACGTGAAACGAAGTCGTTTGTTGCCAAAATCGTAAATACTGAACAAAATTCAATTTAAGTTCCATTTGAAACGATAAAAAAAACCATTGACTATGCATATCAAACGATTGATTACTAGCTCAGAAATGACACATTTCTATGCAATACGAAATTGAACAACAACAACAACACCCAGAACAAAAATTCCGACAAAATGGTATTTCAAGGATATTTTCTGCCAACAAATAGATTCAATGCACTCTATAGAAGTTCAGCGAGTACAACTACGTCTGACGCATCGAACAGTTCATATTTGTACCGATCATTTTTTTAAAAATTCATTAAATTCACTTTCCTTTGTGTCTCGAACAACGCGCTTTTGTCTGGAAATGAAATTCATTTCGAGTGTTTTCGTGTGTCTGCATTCTTTTGTTTCTGCTCAATTATCCACAAAGATTGAACCCATTCGCAGAGAACT